AACTGTGCGGAGCGCTTAAGCTCTGAATCCCACGCGGCATCTAAAGTGGATCTCTAGTACATTTTGTCCACAACACTTAATTCCTCTGACGGTGTGCCCAGCTCCCTAACATGACAACTACTATTGCAGACGACTTCGGACTCGGTGCGTTCTACATAGTCTCCCTGAACACAAGACCAATTTGCGACAACGAGGTCAACCCACTTAAATAAGTCGAAAGGAGACTGCGACCATACCCGAGGTCACAACATCTTGGTCTTCACATCTTCAATATAGTCGGTTACATATTTTAATATGGGTGGACATATAAGGCGTTATTTAATTCTCTTACATTCGAATGTGTGTGTGGATGTTTGTGGGTGTGTGTGCTGACGTCTGTACCCCAATACTGGCCATAAGTCAGAATAATTGTAATAAAGCCTAATGTTGGTGAGTTACATTACATTACAATTACATTGTAGTTACATTACGAATATCCACCAAAGAATATCGGATCACAAAAATGCTTGTTAAGGCAGTTGGGTCGAATGATCAGAAGTGGCTGATTAGAAATCGGCGACTGGATATGAGATAGAATGGTCTCCAATGCAGAGGTCCACTGATCATTTTACGTCTGTTATTGAAATTAATAGATTAGAGAATACGTTGAATGTGAGAAATGGTGGGAGAAAGTTGATTAGGAATTACTTATGCTTGATTGATAGATTGAAAGAGAGAGAGAGGGTGTTGAGCCGCCATCCAGAACGAGGCGACTCAACTTGTCAGCTGAGCGATGCTTTTAACCACATTCATCCTCGTTCAACAGGCCTGTCAAGCTCATAAAGCAAACCAGACCAGCGAGACTACACAAACCCAGCAATGCCATTCCTGGGGTCAATAGAGCATAATGACCTAAAACTAAGGAGTTATGACTCGTGTTTTCATAGCCTGACCTTCACACTCTCAGGTTTCCATATTATCAATTCAGCCAGACTTAGTAACTGACACATGCAGACTCGGCCATGCATTCGCTTGGGTCATTAAGCCTTGCTGACCCGAATTTGGCGTCAGGCATTTTCTAATTACCCTGAGTTATGGCCAATATTGCGTACAGACGTTATCACATACACACATACTCGAGTATAAGAGAAGTAACACCATTCTGTATCTATTGAGATCTAAATATCTTTTCATTATGAGCATATATGTCATGTAAGACAGCCAGTCAGTATTCTTGACTTAATGTTAACTTGAGACTTTATATGAGAATAAGTCCCATCTATGATTAGTTTCGTCCTCCGCCCGGTTTCACCTGAAGTGAGTGAGGATGTCTCGTGGACTGCGTCAGCCTGAACTTCGAATTAAGACCAAATGGCTGCAATACAACAAGAACTAGCTGTATTCTTCCGATGAGATCGAACTACAAATATCTTCTTCATAAACTTTCATGTGAAATGAAAGTCTCTACAACTCTGTATAAGTAATATCACTTTTATTGGTCTTGCTTTCTTTTCCGTAATGTTGATATAATGTTTAAGGTTGATGGGCTAGCTCTTATGTAGGGTAGACCTGCTCATTCTTAAATTAGAGATTATCTGGATGCAATCTCGTCATCGAAGTTTTGTAGGTACATCAATCAGGAGCAGCTAATTCTGTCATTATAGCGCACCAATTAGGTGGAACGGTTTCCATGATATAGAACTGCACAGATGGACGGAAAAATAGGCAGTTTATGGGACGAACTACAGATTGAGTGAAGGAGGCCTAGCATCTCATTCAACTCGTGACTATCAGGTACATACGTATGTCTACAAATGCACAATAAACACACGTTAACAAAGCCCTATTATATTTTCCAGAGTGGACAAAAAAGGTATTTTGGGTGCTCAATCACATGCACACTTACTTCTCTTTAGCGCAAGAGTGTATGGCGAGGCATGAAGTCGTCAACCAAATTATTATACACCTGAAGATACGAAAAGAAAGTTGGTTTCGGTGAATCTTCTGAGATATCATTGTTAGGGGGACCTTCATTTCTAATG